ATGGTACTAGTCGTAAGAAATGATCTTAAAATGGGAAAAGGAAAAGTTGCAGCACAGGTGAATATATATTAAACAATAAATGAAATCTAATATTATCTTCTAGTGTTCTCATGCTACACTTGGTTGTTTTCAAAAAGCATGCGAACAAACTCCTGATGCTGTTGATACATGGTTTTCTGGTGGACAAGCTAAAGTTGTTTGTAAATGTGAGTCAGCGGATGATTTGTAATAAAAAAATAAATTTAAAACAAAAATAATTTCATTCATTTCTTTTTTATTCTAGAGAAGAATTACAACGTCAAGCTAAACGTAAAGGTCTTACAACTTGTCTGATACGAGATGCAGGTATCATAATAAATTATTTTATAATTTAAAATAAATTTAATTTCATAAGACGAACACAGATTGAACCTGGTAATAAAACAGTACTTGGAATTGGACCAGGTTTGTACTTAACATAATATGCAATTGTTAAAAATAATTTTCTTTTGATTTATTTTCAGCATCTTCAAAATCAATCAATGAGATAACGCGTCATTTGAAATTGTACTGATATTTTGTTTTTTGTATTTCTTGTTTACTACATTTATTTTCATGATAAAAGTTTATTATGTCAATAAATATACATATATGAAAACTTGAATTTTAGATGAGTGATACAACTACACCAACTGTTCCATCAATATCAACATCGAATAGAAATACAATGACAGGACATATTAATCATTTTGGAAAATATATTAAACTTAATGTAGGAAATCATTTGTTTTTAACTAGTTTTCATACTTTAACTAAAGAAGAACATGATGGTAAACATTTTGATTTAGTTTTAAATTATTTACGTGATGGAACAATTAATTTACCTGAATGTAATCAAATATTAAATGAATTATTACATGAAGCAAAATTTTATTGTATAGGATCTCTTATTGAACAACAATTACGAACACGTTCAAGAAAAAATGCCGGTGATACAGATGCTTGTTGTAAAGTAATTATGTTAACATCAGCAAAAGAATTACCGAATATAGTCACGACAGTACGTAAACCAATTGTTAAATTAGCTATTAATCGGCATAATAACAAATATTCATATACGGCGTAAGTTGATTAGATGTAAATAAATTTTGGGAAAAAAAAACTTTTTTTTATTTTTGTTAGATCATCAGATGAAATGTTAATGAAAAATATTGAATTATTTGATAAATTAAGTATACGTTTACATAATAGAATATTATTTATTAAAGATGTAACTGGAAGTGAAGAAATATGTTGTTGGAGTTTTTATGGTAATGGACAAAAAATGGCTGAAGTTTGTTGTACATCAATTGTTTATGCAACTGAACGAAAACAAAATAAGATTGAATTTTTTGAAGCAAGAATATATGAAGAAACATTGAATATATTACTATATGAAAATCGAAATGCATCTGTCGATGAAATAATTCGTGCAACAACACCACGTTTTGCATCAGCTGCATTAACGGATGATGATTTAGATGAAGAACGAAGTATAAGTACAAATGTTGTACCAACAACAAATCGATCAACTAGAAAACGTTAAGAGAATAAAAAAATTATTTGCATGCGTGTGAACCCCTTTTTCGTTATATACATATATCTATATTATTTATGGTTGTATTGAGTCAGTTATTTTTCTTTTATGTATTCTTTTAATTTCTAACCTGAAATGTTTTTTTTTCTCGTGTGTTTATAGTCATTTCAATAAGGAAAATACAAAATAAAATATTTTCACAGATCAATAAATCATGAGGAATTTCGTCAATCGTCTTTTTACTTTGCAAGGAAATGAGGATCGAAGCACTGACCGGTATTTAATAAATATATGACTTTTCATAAGAAGCCTTTTTCTTTTAATTTCAAATGAAGGATCCTATCGGATTACATCATAAATCGAAGGACAGAACGATATTCAGATCTTTCACACCCACGAAATCCCTCCTTTAACTGACGGGACGTTTATAACCATATTCGAGTAAAATGTTTAAAACTCAACGTTCTTTACTATAAATTTTTAAACTTTTGAATAATTCAATATTGTGTAGGAGTGATAAAAATTACACTATATTATGTTTAGTTTTGTTCTTTTTTAACGTAAACTTTGCTTGGTTAAAATGGTCCTAAAATGATTGATTTCCATTTACGAAATGTCTTATTTCTATAAGTATGTACTTGTTTAATCTTAAATTCTAGAAATAATTTTCTTTTTCTGCTGAATCATTATTCTAATATTACTGTGTAAAAAAACTATACAGATCGCAATAGGCAGGCTGATAGGGTTCTACTTAGTGACCTCATTATTGAAGCGCTGCAGTAAGTGTTCCTTCTTAAAAGTTCGAGTGTGCAATTGTTTTCACATTCACTCGAGAACGAAACGAGATAAAAACCAGAAGTTTTGATGATGTGGGTGTCATTAATATATCTCACCAATATTCATATTCTCTATTTTCCTGTAACGGCGAGCACTTCTGCTAGTTTTGATTATAATGCTAATATTGAATAAATTATTAATTTATCGAACAATGAGCTTAATATACGTTATTATTTACTCTTTTTGCTGATAATATGTGTACAAGATGGAGCAGATTTTATTGATCGTTCACAAAAAAAAACACACGACTATTTAAATTGTATCCTTGCGTAATTACAATATGAGATTAAAAAACAGGAGAAAATGCAGTGAGCCTGTTGACATGCATTATTTACAGAGTAAATATGTATTTTTTTAGCAACGATATTCTCTCCTATTCGTGAAGAAAGTTGAAAAAAATGAATTCTTTTTTCTTTTTTCTATTCACCTTGCTGTACGATATTAGCTGAGTGACACACATAACAGAATTTTTGTATAGGTAGCAGTAATAAACACAAAACATGGCTAATAACGCCGTGAAAACATTGACATAAAGAAATCTGATTCTCATATATATACATATAGTAAAGCTTATTCATCTCCTTCGCCATAATCTACTCAACCGAGAAACTCACAAAATTACCGTTTTATTGTCACATAATACACGAAATGGACGCAATATCTAATAGCAGCGAACGGCGAAGACATATCGTACAAGATTATTTACTCATTTGGTTAGATGAGTCTATGGACGAAACAAACGAAGATTACAAACATATTTTGACACAAATACAAACCGGTGCCGACAATGTCAGCTTCTTTACACAGAGAGATGCATGTATCGACTTTCTTTCCGATAGTGAAGATATTAAGTCTTTTCTCATTGTCGAGAACACTATCGCTCAGCAAATTATGCCCCTCATCAATGATATTCCGCAGTTGAATAGTGTTTATATTTTCAGTAGCATTAAATCTCAACATGAAGAATCGGCAACAAAACGGCAAAAAATCAGCAGCGTTTATACAAACATCGATGACTTATGCAAAGTATTACAGCAGGGTATCAAGAAATGCAATCAAGACTCAATTGCCATGAGTTTTGTCACCGTAGATGAAATGGCTTCAACTAATGATTTAAATCAATTGGAACCAACATTTATGTATACTCAAATATTCAAGGATATTCTTCTTCATATGGAATACGATAAACAGGCCATCATACAGTTTACAACTTATTGTCGACAACATGATTGCGGATCGGCAATCACTATTGATCGATTTGAAAATGAATACTATACTAAATCAGCTATTTGGTGGTATACTTGTCCCTTATTTATCTATTCTATGCTCAATTATGGTCTACGCTCTATGGAAGGCGATACTATTATTAATATGGGCTTTTTCATTCATGATCTTCACCATGAAATCCAACAACTACACGAACAACAGGTTAATAGTTATAATGGTAAACCATTTTTAGTTTACCGGGGACAAGGTTTATCCGAAACAGATTTCGAAAAACTCAAAAAAACACAAGGTGGTTTAATATCTTTCAATAACTTTTTATCTACTAGTACCAATCAAGACATAGCTCTTATACTCGCTGATAGTGCGTCAGAAAACGCGGACATGGCTGGCATTTTATTTATAATGTCCATTGATCCTTGTATTAAATCAGCACCATTTGCCTCCATAAAAGAGAAGAGCTGTTTTGGTGAAGAAAATGAAATCCTCTTCTCAATGCATACTGTCTTTCGAGTGAATACAGTTAAACAAATGGATAATAAGAATCAACTTTACCAAGTTGAATTACAATTAACGTCGGATGATGATGGACAACTACGATTACTTACTGATCGGATACGAGAAGAAGTTACTCGTGGTACCGGATGGCAAAGACTGAGTAGTTTGTTGCTTACAATTGGTCAATTTAATAAAGCTGAAAACTTTTGCAAAGTATTACTTGAACAGACATCTGATGAGAGTGAAAAAGCGTTTTATTATGGTTGTCTGGGATATGTCAAAGATGAACAGGGTGATTATGAAAAAGCTATATGCTATTACAAACAAGGACTTCACATGTATCAAAAAACTCTTCCTTCAGATCATCCATTATTGGCTACTTCATACAATAACATCGGTATTGTGTACAACAATATCGGGGAGTCTTCAAAAGCACTTTCATACTACGAAAAAGCACTCGAAATTAAACAAAAAGCTCTTCCTTCAAATCATCCTTCATTGGCTACTTCATACAACAACATCGGTTTCGTGTATGATAACATGGGAGACTACGCGAAAGCTCTTTCATTTTACGAAAAAGCACTTGAAATCTATCAAAAAACTCTTCCTTCAAACCATCCTTCATTAGCTACTTCATACTGCTGCATCGGCAGTGCGTATGACGGAATGGGACAGTACACGAAAGCACTTCTGTTTCACGAAAAAGCACTAGAAATCCTTCAAAAAACTCTTCCTTCAAATCATCCTGATTTGGCTACTTCATACAGCAACATCGGCAATGAATATAACAAGATGGGAGAATACTCAAAGGCACTTTCATACTACGAAAAGGCACTTGAAATCTTTCACAAAAATTTTCCTTCAAATCATCCTTTATTGGCTACTTCATACAATCATATCGGCAGTGTGTATAGCGCAATGGGACAGTACACGAAAGCACTTTCATTTTACAAAAAAGCACTTGAAATGTTTGAAGAAACTCTTCCTTCAAATCACTCTTCATTAGCTAATTCATACTGCCGCATCGGCAGTGCGTATCACGAAATGGGACAGTACACAAAAGCACTTCTGTTTCACGAAAAAGCACTAGAAATTTTTGAGAAAAGTCTGCCTTCAGATCATCTTTCATTAGCTACTTCATACGGCCACATCGGTACTGTGCATGGCAGGATGGGAGAGTACTCGAAAGCACTTTCATATTACGAAAAAGCACTTAAAATTCGTGAAAAAACTCTTCCTACAAATCACTCTTCATTAGCTACTTCATACTGCCGCATCGGCAGTACGTATCACGAAATGGGACAGTACACGAAAGCACTTCTGTTTCACGAAAAAGCACTAGAAATTAAACAAAAAGCTCTTCCTTCAAATCATCCAGATTTGGCTACTTCATACAACAACATCGCTAGTGTGTATAACAGCACGGGAGAGTACTCGAAAGCACTTTCATACTACGAAAAGGCACTTGAAATCTTTCACAAAACTTTTTCTTCAAATCATCC